TGTTGATATTCTGTTTTCCATTTCATTCATTCTAGTGGTGAGGCTTTCCCCGTTGTTCCAAGTTGGCTTATTGAGTTTTGTACTTCCTTCTTCATTTCTGCCTGAGTTTTCTTCAATGTTTCTATCTCTTTTGTGAATTCATTCAGAAGTTTACCCCTATCTTCTTTTAGTTCTTTGATTTGTTTGTTCATGTGTTCTTTAAATTTGTTGAATTCCTTGATCATGTTTATGATTGTTCTTTTAAATTCAGTGTCCTGGTTTATCTCTGGGGGGTTCTCCTTGTAGAACTCTTCTATAGCATTGGTGGAGTTTGGTGGAGACATAATGTTTTGATTTTCCATTTTATGATACTTTCATTGTGATTTTGGCTCATGGATTTCTTTTGTTGTTTATGATTCTGATATGAGAATTAAGTTGAAGTATGCTTCTGTTTGTATTATCAGGGTGCCTAGTTCCTTTCTTTATTGGTTATGTAAAGCTGGTTGGTGCAGGGTTCAGGTTCTCTCAGGTTTAATTTGGAGGGAACCAATGGCTTCAGATCAGCTATTCAGGGGTACCCACAGAAGCCCAATTCAGGTTCCTATCAGGTATACTCAGGCTTCCTTCATCACGGGGAGGCAGGATCTGGGTGCTCTCAGGCAGTCCCCTGTGTTCTCAGGCCCTGTTCTGGCCAGAGGGAGGCCAGAACTTGGCACTCTCTGGCAGTCTGCTGAGATCAGAGCTGCTACACCAATGGAGGTTCAAATCCACCTTCTCAGGCTGTCTGCTAGGATCTCAGCCTTAGTCTGCCAAAGCCAGATCTGCCCTGGGGCCTTGAGAAAGGCCTCAGGAAATCCCAGGTAGGGAGATGGGTATGGCCCAATTAGGGGAAGCTCACCATTTCATGGAGGCAGGATCCAGGGGCTCTCAGGCAGTCCGCTGTGTTCTGAGGCCCTCTGCCAGAGGGAGGCCAGAGGGAGGCCAGAACTCAGCACTGTCTGGCGGTCTGCTGAGATCAGAGTCGCTACACTGATGGAGGTCAGAACCCACCGTCCAGAGCAGTGAATATTCTTAATTACTGAGCCATCTTTCCAGTCCCTCCTAGAAGTTTCTTACTGGTGTTACTGAATGTTTTCAACAATTCCTGGGATGTAGAAAGCAGCCTACTTATGTTATGGACAAGAAAACTTAGAGAGCTTGTCTAATACCCAAAATCATACAGTTAGAATGTAAGGGCCATCGAATGTCAACTCAGACTTTTCTAATTTCTAAGAGATGGTACAAAGAAAAGAGCCAGCAGCCCAGGATCAATCCCCTGGAAGGATGGGTTTAGGGCACATGCACTTGGAACATGGTATCCTGACCAACTTGATTGGGCAAGTTGTTTTTCAGAGGTGCATGCAGGACATAGGCTGCAGGAGTGAGGCTTCCTTCTGGAGTATGACCTAGCCTATGTAAGGGAAATCTGCAGGTAGGAAGAGATAATGGTTTAGGTGACAGGAGCTGGCTGGACTCTGCAGGCATCTCAGCAGTTTTCACAGATACTTCTGTTAAAGGCAGTTATTTCCTTTTCATTTTGGACATTTTTGCCTTTGTCTCAGATCATTTAATCTAGAATGGTTCAGTGTGTTGCCATGTGACCAAGGAGAGGAAAAAAATCCACCAAGCTGTGAGTCCAGAGTCTAGAGGTCCAGATTCTACCCTTGGTTTGGCCACTATAAGATCTTGGGTAAAGCATTTAAACATTATTTATTTTTATTTTATGTTCATGAGTGTTTTGCCTGTATGTATATAAGTGTAATGCTTGCAGATGCCAGAAGAGGGCATCAGATCCCCTGGAACTGGAGTTAAGGGAGGTTGTTAGCTGCCATGTGGGTGCTGGGAATCAAACCCAGGTGCTTTGCAAGAGCAGCCAGTGTTCTTATCTTCTCAGCCATCTCTCCAGCCCTGGTAAGTAAATTTTTTTTTCTTCCCAAGTACCACAAATTCCTTCATTCATGAGAGAAAGGGTGTGGGTCTCATCCAGAGAGGGTGAAGTGGATGCACTAGGGATGGCTTAAAATTAGGACCTCAATTCCCACATGCATGAGTAAAGTGAACACCTCTTTGGGTATGTGGTTCCCATGGAGGGCCCCAAATATTTCCCTATCCCACTGGCCAGGAAGCATCAATCATTCTAACATTCTTTTTGTTCATTTTGTTTTCTGTAACAGGGTCTTGCTATGTAGCTAGGGTGGCCTTGAATTCAAGATCTTGTTTCTGCCTCTTAAGTGTTGGGATTATGGGACTATAGGTATGCACCACTGTGCCCAGTTTTTTTTTTTGGACAGGGTCCCAGCTGGTCTGGAACTGGCTATGCAGATCAGACAGGCCTCAATCTCACAGAGATCTTTCTGCCTCTGTGTCCTGAGCGCTGGGATTAAAGACAGGTACTGCCATGCTCGGCACCATGCATGCTTTTTATGGTTAAAACCTGATTGTTTTCCTCCTGTCACCCACATCCTGTTAGATACCAGACACAAGTACATTTATTCATCATTCCAAGGCCATAATGATTTGGTGCCTAATCTGAGATCCTATGAAATTTCACCTGATTTAAGTTTGCTGGCCAGCCTCGATGGAAATTCCCCTTCAGATGGACAGTTGACAGGGCCCAGGCTTCAGAAGAATCACACAGGGAAAAAGTACTTGTTCTAAAAAATCTTCCTATTCAGAAAGGACTTTTTTCCCTACTAGGAAAGTTGGGAACAGATTCCAGAGCTTCATCTCAGTTCATGGGCTAAAAAGGCAGTCGTAGAAGGAGGCTTCAAGAGGGGTGTTGCAGGAGACCCATTGTGTATTAATTTTCTCCTGGGAGGATGAATATCAACAAAAATAGCCTTTTCCTAATAACTCTTGGTAATGAGAATATCACCCCAGTGCTCAAAATGGAACAGTCTCTGAAGGAAATGGAATCTAGAAAGAACACCAACGACTCAGAATCCCACAAGTAACTTCCTGGATCCCACAGTGACTCCTCTAATAAAAGGCAACCTGCCCAGTGATTTCTTTCCCGTCTACTCAAGGGACTTCGCCCATAGCAAACTTATTCATTACTTCTACTAAATATCTTAAACCTCTGATGTTGGCTACATCCTACGATCATCTTTAACCAGTGTGATGTCAGTGGGCAGGGAACCACTGCTCTCTTATTCTCCAAGTGAAGCTCTAATGAGCCCGCAGTCAAGTGGCCAGAATGTAGGGAGGAAGAGACAAGAGCCAACCATAAATATTTGACCTGCCAGAAAAACTGACCCTAAGGAGTGAAGGACTCAAATTCTACTCTGAGCAACTCCTTGTGAAGAGAGAACAGTTCTGACACCCATCTCTGGACTGAGTGTGGGATGGCTGGCCCCTCGCCAGCCCTGATCTTTTCAGACATCCTAGATGGGCTAAAGTTCTCATCACTTGGTCACTGAAAATAGGAGTAGGGTTGAGAGTTCGTTGAAATTCCCAAGGACTTATGCCAGGGATTAAAACAACGGGCATCTGTCCAATTTACATCCCAACTTTGTGTGTGTGTGTGTGTGTGTGTGTGTGTGTACATGTGTGTACATGCATGTGGAAACCAAAGGTTGATATTGAGTGTCTTTCTCCACCTTGTTTTTTTTTAGACAGGGTCTCTCACTGAACCCAGAGTTTACTGATTTGGCTAGACTAGCTGACTAGCAAGCCCCAGGGATCCTCCTGTCTCCACCTCCCTAGTGCAGGGCTTATAGATATGTGCTGTCACATCTGGCTTTTTACATGGGTGCTGGAGATCCAAACTCAGATTTCTCATACTTGCACAGCAAACACTTTGTTGATTGAAACATTTCCCTAGCCTCTCATATCCCAATATTTTGACATGGTGTGTCTGCATTGTAATTAAAAAATAAATTAACAACCTTTTCCTGTGTAAGTACCTAGTTCTTGAATTCACTTGGTAAGTTTGTCATAGCAACACAGATTCTCCAAGACGGCAAGTATCCCCTGAGAGAAGATAAATTCCATGGGAGGGAATGCTAAAAAGTAGCAGCCTTGCAGGGCTTGTCAGCAAAGCAGTTCACTGGCTGCCTTCTTTGTCTGTTCCCCAGAGACCTGACTGTGGGGGTCAAACAATGGATGGTCCCTCCTATCCCAGGAACAAGAAAAATGACAGAATTCCAAGGCCACACTTTCCCTCCAGCTTTCCCTCACCCCACAGCTAAGCTACAAGGTTCACTGCTTCTCATGGTTTGCCTGACAACTCTACTTTATGGAGGGCATAAAGTAGACTGGGAGACAGTAAAAGAGAAGGTTCTAGGTCTTGGCAATTTGGATATAACCTCTTCAAGACATAAGACTCCCAGTGCTTATCTATGGATGGATTTGGTTGGGAAGAAAGAGATTTTAGGGAAGGGCCTAAGAAAGTTCAAAATAGTCCTGGCTTCAGAGAGAAAATCTAAACCCATTTGAGGGTACTTCTAGACAGTTTTTCCTTTGGCCAATCACAGCAGGAAACTTTCACATACCAATGGCTTCCTAAGAACAATGTTTGCACAACAAACAAATCCATGAAGCTATCCAGGGGGCCTGGAAGCCAAGGCAGGCATGGCCCTGGGCCTACCACAAACCCTTCATCTTGGCTCAGAGACTTTCTTTCTCCTCAAATTCCAGCCTCAAGTCCCCAGTCCCATGAGGAGGGCTGTCAGGGGGCAGCAAACTCACCAGCATCTGTTCTGGGTTCCCATTAGCTATCTCCACCACCTTCAGGGCAGGGTCCACTTTCACCTTGGCTCGAGCCATGAACTGGATGACAGAGGAACTGTCCTGTGGAAGAAGCACAGCTCACCGTGAGATCGTTTTCAAATGATATTGACAATGATATTTCCTTGAAAGGGACTCTGCAGAACTCCCAAGATTTCATGAAGACCGTATACATATTTTATCACCGAACTAGAAATTTTCACATCGCAGGTACCCACATAGATATACGCTTCCAGCTTCTCCTGAGAATTCCTTCAGGTGGTGAGGGCGCAGAACCACCATTGCATTTGCCAGTCAGTAATCAACACATGCAAGCCTGTGTGCTGTGGTTTCTGAGGAGTGAGGGCCAGACAGCTGAACATTGATACTGACATATTCACAAAGAGAAGAGGATAAAAAAAGCTGTTTAATTGTGTGCAACAAATCCCAGCCTGGCATTCCCCAGAAGGCATCTGATTCTCATTTTCTAGGCATTTTCTTGCCCTGACCACAGCCCTCAAGCCCATGAGGGCTTATACAAGTTATTCTTAACTCTTTATTTGCTGTCAAATGAAGCTGTTTGGGGGTGAAAGTCACTGAACGTTCAAAGAGAGCACCTGATGAAGAGATGATGGTGTGGAGGGTGTGGAGGGGTAGAGACCTTGGAGACTCAGGAATTGCCTGTTGGCAAAGCAGTTGGAAGATTTGCTGTTGGCTCAGGTTCAAAGCCATGATCCAGATAAGAACATGGCTCCAAAGCAGGGATGGAGATGGAATTTGGAAAAAGATGTGGATTGGCAAAGTCAAGGCCTTGGGAAAGGCTAGCATCCCGGGCCAGATGGGACTGCATTGACTGTGGAGAAGTATCAGGCTTCCACTGTACAAACAACCATTTACCACTCTCCTGTGGCATGGGTGGGCTCTGCCAGTGAGGTGTTTTTAATATAGCCACCTGCACTGACTCAGGTCCTCTGTCACTTGAGGAAGTTCTGTGGTTTGGGCATGTCCCTCAGAATTCAAGTATTGGAAATTTAATCCCCAAAGTCATATGTGAGTGGTATTTGCCTTAAGCTTTTGGGAGGTAATTAGATTATGTGAGGTCAGGAGGGTGGCATGTTCTGATGTTGTATAGAAGTTTCCTCTGAATTGAAACATTCCCTTAGGGAGGGAGGGGGAAACTCATGAGACTCAGGGGGTAAACAAAAATCACATGTCTGGGAAAGTGGAAACTTGGAAGATTCTTGAAGGCCCTCCTCCAGCTTTATAAAAGAAGCAAACAACTTCTGGGGGGAGGAGACTGAGACCAGCCAAACTACAGAGAGATTTCTCAGACCTATAGAGCTGCCTGCAAGTTACGCAGAGAGCTCTGGGCTTGCAGCTTCCGTAAGTGGTCACTGTGTTGGGTGCATTCTCAGTGACGCAGCTGCTTCTGAGTGGTCCCTGTTCCTGTAAGTAACCCCTCACCCATGCTCTTGCTCCTGTTGGTAACCCCCAACGAAACTCATTAGTTTGCTGAGTTGGACTTTAATGCAATTTTTACTTTGGTCTATAGTGAATTCCCTTTTTGGGGTGAATTGTTTGTGTGTGGATGGTGTTGCATCTCCCTGGGAAAGTCTCTTGAATAACATTGTGATGATATTGGTGGATTTCTAAGAAGAGGAAGAGAGACCTGGGCTGTACACTGGTCTTCTTACTGTGGATGCCCTTCCTGCTGTGTCATGATGTAGCAGGGCTGCCCTTGCCAAAGGTCAAGCTGATGTACCATGTCTCAAGCCTTCAGAATGCTTATCCAAACAAACTTCTATTCTTTATTCATTGCTCAGTCCCATGTACTTTCAGTAGTAGCCAAAAATGGACTCAGTCAGAGGTTCACATTCAGATGCCAGGTTCGACCTAGACTAGCTAAATGTACAAAGAAACAGGAAAGTCACTAGCATTTCCAAGAAAGTCCTTCATTCATCACCCCCCCAAAAATCCCACAAAGACTTCTGTAATGGCACATGGAGGTCTTTGACTATATACTTTAGTTGGGATATCTACTATGTACAAATTATTGTTCTTTTTTAAAAAACAATTTTAAATCATAGCTTAAGATTTTAAGAAACTATTTATTTTTATTTTATGTGTATGAGTGTTTTGCCTACATGTATGTAAGTGCACTCCTATGTACAATGCCTGCAGAGGCCAGAAAAGGGCATCAAATCCCCTGGAATTAAAGTTACAGATGGTTGTTACTTGCCATCTAGGTGCTGGAAACTGAACACAGGTCCTCTGCAAGAGCAGTCAATGCATTTTACTGCCGAGCTATCTCTCCAGCCCCACAGCTTAAGATTTTTATAAACACGTATTAATTGTCCATATTAATGAGGACTAGTGTGGTATTTCCATACATGTGCAGGAGCCTTGGGTTCCAGTGTGTGAGCCTTACTTCAGGGCTATGCATGCACTGGCGAAATCCTATTTCCTTTTTTATACTTTCCTCCTTTTAAGTGCTTAAAGTGCCATATATACACATCTTTTAAGTGCTTCTGGGAAGATTGCCATTCGAAAGAATTTCTTTTTTTTTTTTTATAAAATCTTTCAGCAATTTTGTAAATTTGTGATTTTGTATATCTTCTGATTCTGTATTTTTAAACATTTATTTATTTATTTTATGGGGGGGGACTTGCTCATACACCATAGTGCATGAGGTCAGAGGAAAACTTGTGGGAGTCTGCTCTCTTTCCGTTATGTGAGTTGTGGGGATTGAACTCCGTTTATCATGGTTGTCAGCAAGTGCCTTTACCTGCTGAGCCATCTCAGCTATCCTGTGATGCTATATTTTCAATCATGAATCATTGTTGGAGATTAATAGTGATGATAATAATGATAATTGCCATATTAAGGGCTAATCAGATGAGGAGCCTGGCATGGAACAGGCCCCTGGTGGCTACGAAGAAAACCTTTTGAATGCTTCCCAAGAAATCTGAATCCTCTGATGATTTAAAAAATCAGATCCTACATTTCACATGAAAAGTTGTTGAGGTCAAAACAATCAAACCTCAGATTCTCTCTTCTGGGGCCAGACCTTGAGGTCAAAAGGAAAATAAACACAACTGTAGGCCCAGGCCAGTCACAAGGCCAGTGCTGTATTACGTCCTTGGGGAAGCCGAATGGCCCCGGAGACATCTGGTCAATTCTCCAAAGGCGGCTGTACTAGTGTCTATATTTCATGACTCTAGAGGCAGCTGGGTCTTATGTGCCTTCCTTGTTGAAGCCTCTGTACCCAAGTTTCTCCAAGGCTCCGTGTGACACCCCAGAGCTGCCAGCTCTCTCACAGGGGGCTCCACTGTCTTGACTGACTCATGGGGACAATGGTTAATGGGATGTGGTCCTTGGTAAAGGGTGACCGCTGGTCACTGGCATAGAGAAGAACCAGGCTGCAGAGCTTCCCACAGGCAAACTAAGCCATGTGACAGAAGGGCAAACAGCAGTCATATGATGGAGGAGACGTGAGTGGCTTTTGCTATCAGTGCCATCACTCTGTGGAGAGTGGGAAGTATGTGGCATGGGAAATAAACTGTCAGCAACAACACTGGTTAAGACAGACAGGCAGGCAAGAATATAAACTCTCAGGCTCTCTGACCTGCTGGGGGCCTGTGCAAGGGAGAGATTCCCTGAGACTTCCTTCTGGAAGCAGAGGAAGACAATAAAGTTTCAGTTCGCACCTGGCCTTCCTCTAACATTGTCTTACATAAAGTGTAGACACCAGGGAAGCCCCAAGTTTGAGCCCAACAACCCAAACCAGTTTCCTTCCAGAGCAAATGAGAGACCCCAGACCATGCCCAGCTCTCCATGGGTATGTGGGGATAGTAAAAGCTACAAAGAGAATGAGAAAAAATAAAACCAAGCAAAACACCATCCCTTACTGCCTGTGTGTCACCGCTGTATCTAATTTAAAAATAACCATGTGATGACTCTGACAATATTCACTTACTCTGGGATGGCTGGCTCTCCACACATCACACACACATTTCATCTTCCCAAGGGAAAATAAATAGAAACTCTGGGCTAATGTGCATATTTTATTTTACCTTCACTTCTAATTATTTTTATAGCATCCTGTGGGATGAAGCCTCTCACATTCAGCAAGCTCTCATTTAAAATAAATCATAGTAAACCTACATGATTCTTTAAAGGCCACCAATTTGCTGGCTGAATAATTTGGGACCACTTTTGAACTCATAGTAACAAAGTAACCTGAGGTCCAAAAGCCGGGCTTTTTTGAGATAAGAAATCATCTGAACAAGGCAAACTAGGACTTATGGGTCAAATATAGCTTTCTGGCTGTTTTTATAAATAAAGTTGTATTAGAACACAGCTATGTCCTTCATATGAATATCATCTATGGTTGCTTCCACAATATACTAGCAAGATTGAGTAGTTGCAAAGGACTTAAATTGTGATATCCAACCTGTGCCACACAGGCTGCATGTGTCCTAGGATGGCAATGAATACAGCCCAACACAAAATTGTAAACTTATTTAAAACACTATGAGGTGTGTGTGTGTGTGTGTGTGTGTGTGTGTGTGTGTGTGTGTGTGTATGTGTGTGTGTTTGGAAGGTCAGTTGGTATGTCTTAAGCCTGAATTCTGTATAGGACCATTTTGTGACCCAATGGCAAAAGGCTGGACAAGCCTGATTCTGACCTGTAAAGCCTAAAATAGTTTCTCAGAGTTGTCAGAACTAGCAAGCTATTCAGAACTGTATCACCTCAGATCCTATTCTCCAAGGAATTTGAGGGTTTGTAAGGTCCTCAAGGGAGTCTGAGGCAAACTCTGGGATGACAAACTAGACGGGCAGGTAAGACATCTGAGAAGCTAGTTAAGATGTTGTTTGGATAAGTCTGGAGTAGAGGGGGAGGGAGACCCAGCGTTCTCTATTTCATCCCAGGTGATGCTGTTGGTCTTTGGACCAGTCTTTGAATGGCAAGTATATGATACTGTCCCCTGGTAACATCTGGTGGCAGAATTACCAATGGCTAATTCTGGGAAAGTTTCATAAAAGCTACATGAGCGTCACGGGGAACTGATTCCAGAGTTTTCAGTGCTGTCTGGGAGCGCAGGCGTGAGCGGCTTACCTTCTTCAGTATCTCTGTGTTCAGCAGCATGTAAATGTCGATGGCACGGCTTTCTTCTTTAGGAAGAGCGCTAAGGTTACAGTGCATGGTTAGGCAGGGACTTCCTGGTTTTTCACAGTCCTGAGGAGAAAATGTCCAGATGGAATTAAAAGACAGAGACAAGTCATAGCCAGAAACTTGTAAAGTTTCTGTTCTGGTGACTCAGGTGACTCCAGGTGGAGGAAGTTAATAGAGATGCAGGGCTGGGCAGCAGCTCAAAGATGGAGGCCCTGCCTAGCTTGCCCAGGGCTCTGGGTCCCAGCCCCAGCAGCAAAACCCGAAGTTCAATAGGAATTAGACATGACTAGTCACTGAATATGTCTGTGGCATTGATCCATTTAGAAAAAGTGATTTAAGTGGATGAACTCACACCAAGGGACATGTGGGTACACAAACTTGACTAGATGGGCCTTAACGTATAGGACAAAGTACATGAAGTCCTGTGGGCAGGCAACGGGGGGGGGTGCAGATAGGGAAGTGGGGGCTAAATATGATTAAGATGTATTATATGAAATCCACAAAAATTAAATAGAGAATATATTTTAAAAAGTGATTTAAAAAATGTTCTGCAGGGCAGGGTTTTATAAGCTGAAAATTTTCCCTTCTTATTCTATTTAAAAACTATATAAAATTGTTCTATTGTAGTGTTATTTAATATTTAAATTGTTTTGCTAGACATAAAATAAAGTATGGTTTAAAAATTTTTTTTCGATGACAACAAAAAACTCAACATAACCCTGCCCCCACACTAAAGAAGTTGTAGTTATCTGTTGTCACCACCAGAGGGCATCAGAAGGATTTCCGGCCTGCAGGCTCCATCCAGGACTCTGGTGTACAATCTATTTGGAAGAGAGCAGCTCCGTGATGAATCTTACCAAAAATTTGTATTTCACGAGGACAACCATATTTCTTTTTTAAAAAAAGAAACATCTACATATGCTAACAGCACTCTTATGAGTTCTGAACATGAATTTTTCCTACCACTGTCATTTCTGCTGTGCAGTGGCACGTAGACTTTCGTGCTCCTGTTTTTTGATGGGGTATGTTAAAGGATGAAAAAGTCACATGACTCCTGCTCAAGGAGACACATAAGAAAGTTACCAAAAGAATGACCAAAGATGAAATTTCCTCTTGTGGTATGAGGTCTAATGTGTATCTGTATACCTGTGTGAGGCTTTGTTTGCAGGAGGAATTTTTAAGCCTAGCCTGGAGTTGTGTGTAGGGAACAGCTGGACATTGCTACATCTAACTGTCCCTAGGGTCTTTAAAAAGATGGACTGCCAGGCGTGGTGGCGCACACCTTTAATTCCAGCACTCAGGAGGCAGAGGCAGGTGGATCTCTGTGAGTTCAAGGCCAGCCTGGTCTACATAGTGAGTTCCAGGACAGCTGGGGCTACAGGGAGACCCTGTCTCAAAAAGACCAAAAAAAAAAAAAAAAAAAAAAGATGGACCATCCTCACTGGTCCTCACTGGGTGTAATAGTTAGCATTAAATATCAACTTGACTAATCTAGAATCACCTGGGCAGAGCATTTCAGTGAGGAACTACCTAGATCAGGTTAGCCCCGGGGTCTGTCTAGTGGGGGATTATTTTGATTACCTTAATTATATGAAAAGACCTGCCCACTGTGGGTGGCCCCATTCCCTAGGCTCCTGAACTGTATAAGGGTGGAGAAGGTGAGCTGAGAACAAACATGCACGACTTGTTCTTCACTGCTCCTTGACTATGGACACATAGGAGCTACCTTGAGCTCCTATGACTGTGCTGTTTCAGTGATGGACTATAGCCTGGAACTGGGAGCTAAAATAAACCCTTTCTCCATAAAGTTGCTTTGTCAGGGTATTTTATCACAGTAACAGGAAATAAAACTGAGATATCATGCAAGTGAAAAAAAAAGAAAACTCAAACTTTTCAAGTGGCAAAGAGTTATGGTTTCTCTACTAGAGAGGAGAGTGTGGGGAGGGGTACAATAGAGGTGAGATGTGCTTAGGTTGAAGAGAGGGGCTGAAGAAACAGCCAGGTTACAGGGAAGGGAAACTTTGGAAAACTACTGATTCCTTTGTTGATATCTTAGCTTAAAAATGAGGAATAGCACATAGCCAATAAAACAAAGCACGTGTGTACATCTTGATAACTTTTTACATGTCTTTACCTGGAGAACCACCACCCTGATCATGGTGTAGAATGTTTCCATCATGGGTATAGGAACCCTCATCCCAACCTTGCTGCTGTTCTCTCAGAAATGATCATTATCCTGACATCCATGGCCACTGAGTAGCCTTTACTATTTCTGAAATTCTTATACATAATATATTCCAATGTATTTTCCTTATGCAATTTGGGAGTCTTTTAGATAGACCCACTGAAGGGGTACTCCAGCTGCCTCACCCTGCGTCCCTGTTCAGCATGGAAGAAACCAGAGCGGTCTGCATCCCAGTTCCCTATTGTTTTTAGCTTCTTTTAATATCATTTCTTTGAGACTTGTTTATATTGTTATATGTAGCACTAGTAGTTATATTTCAGTTTTTGTTCTTTTTAAAAACTATTTTAATTGATTTTTTGTGAATTTCATACAACGTATTTGATCATATTCAGATTTTCTCTCCTATCTCCACCCCCATTTTGTTGTTTCATTGTTGTATAATAGTCCAGAGTGTGGATATACCACAACTTTTCACTCATTATACTGTTGATAGAATTATTCCCAGATTTTGGCTAGTATAAAATTGCTCCCAACATGTTTGTTTGTGTCTTTCAATAGACACATATATTCATCTCTCGGGGACCCAGACATGGTCCCTTTTACTGGGTTGTAGTATATATTCATAGTGTTAGTAGAAATTGCTAGGGAGCTTCCTAAAAGTGTTGTACAAGAACTGTAACTTAGATTTGTTACTAGTTGGAGACAGAGCTTACTCTGTGCTCGGCAGGTTGCAGAGATTTTCTGTTTGTCAGGCAGTGGAATTTGGAATACAAGTTTAACATTTTGATTGAAACCCCAGGATGAAAAAATAGAAGTTGACCACAGTTCTTGAGTCTTTTTGAGTCAATTGATGAAAAACAGATTTGGGAAATAACAAATACCAAGAAGAAGACAGGCTGCTAGTCTCTGACTTGCCTTCCGCATGAGAGCTACCCATTTTACCCCAGTCACTAAGCAATTCCTTACCAATACTTTTCTTCCCGACTTTGTAAAAAAAGCAAATATTGTGTGGAAGATATTTTCTTGTTCCTGAGGGATGATGCAGGGGGTTGGGTTTCTCTGGAAAGAGCAGTTTCCTTTCTCTTGGTTCACCTGAAAGAATGAAGAGAAACCCGTCAGAGAGGGCAGGAATGGATCACAAATCTTCTGACACAGCAGAGCCAAAATTCTCCCCCTTCATTCAGTCTTCAGTAGATAAGAATGGTTGAAAAGAGTTTTGTTTTGTGAGTCAGGATCTTGCTATGCCTCCCGGTCTAGCCTGGAACTCCTGGGCTCAACCTATGCTCCTGCCTCAGCCTCCTGAGTAGCTAGAACTACAGGTGAGCACCACAGCTCTGGCCTAAAAGCTTTTGAGGAAGAAGTTGTAACAGAAGATACGGATATTAAGACCTTAAATAACTGAGCTGAAACGTACACACTATGCAAATGAGATGCGACCAGGGAAAGAAGATGCAAGAACAGCACTAACCCTCCACTTCCTCAGTTCCAGGCTTATTTACATAACTCCACATACCAAGTCTTTCAGACAGGCACTGATGAAGAAAAAGATACCCAAGTCACTTGGGAACAGAGTCAAAAGCCTAGGTCTGGAGTTCAAGTCTTCTGAGACCTAAGGTCCAACAGAGGATAAGTGGACCTCATGCATGGTCTACTGCTAGAAGTTTCCAGAATGTTCCATGGGGCCACTGGGGTGCTGTGAAACCCCTTATGATACATTCCTGAGGGAAGAAAGGGCATCAAGGATTTCTTTGGGTCCTCATCTCTGCTGCAGCTGGAGGATCAGCCACACATGATACCATTAGAAAGTAGGGTTTCCCTACCAATAAAAAAGCATTGAGTAAAGAAGCCAGCCGGCCTGAACATCAGGGAGTTGTCTGATTCGGTAACGGTGCTGTTGCTGTGGAAGGGTCACGCGAAAAACCAGACAATGGCATGTGCCCATACCTGTATTTTTCTGTTTAAGAACCCATGTGTGATGTTAATATACTTGTAACCTGAGAACTTAGCAGGCTGAGGCAGGAGGATCACTGTAAGTGGGAGGCCAGCCTGGATGACACAGCAAGACGCTTTCCCAAACACCACATGTACACATAAACCCCCAAACAAACAAAAACATAACAAAAACCCCAACAAAACTCCCAAACCAAAGAGACAAGAAACAAAACAAAATAGAAAGACCCCAGAGTCTCTAACAAAAACCTTCACTCTCTTTGATGTCGGCATCAAGGAATTGTTAAAAACCACATCTTCTTTATCATATTACATGGACTGAAGCTTAACACAGGTGGGATTAAGATCAGCCCAGAACATTAATAATTAGTAACTCATGCCTCAGGACTGTAGAGTCCCACTGTCAACCAGAATTGTCTGTTAAATAAGTTCCTTTCTCTAATGACCTTGAGTAAATGATAGTGTCTAAGCCGATTCAAGAATATTTAGACTTCTCTTATTTGTGGTAGAAAGCAAGGTTTAAAGGTTTTACTTTATGTCATAAAACATGTAACAACATAAGCTTGTTCATCCTTTATTATTTATTTATTTGTGTGTGTGTGTGTGTCTGTGTGTGTGTCTGTGTGTCTGTGTGTGTCTGTGTGTCTGTGTGTGTCTGTGTGTCTGTGTGTGTCTGTGTGTCTGTGTGTGTCTGTGTGTCTGTGTGTGTCTGTGTGTCTGTGTGTGTCTGTGTGTCTGTGTGTGTCTGTGTGTCTGTGTGTGTGTCTGTGTGTGTGTCTGTGTGTCTGTGTGTGTCTGTTTGTGTTCACCTGTATGGACACACGTGGAGGCCAAAGGTCGATATGGAATGTCTACCTCAAATGTTCTCTACTGTATTTATTGAGATGGGGGTTCTCACCGAAGATAAAGCTCATAGATTCAGCTAGACTGTGTAGCCTGCAAGCCTGCCCCCAGGATCCTCCTGTTCCCACCTCCCCAGCACTACTAGAGTTATAGAAGTGCATTGCCACACCCAACTTATACACAGGTGCTGGGGATCTGAACTTAGGTCCTCATGCTTGTGCAGCAAGCTCTTTACCCACTGAGTCATCTCTCTAGCCCAAGATGGCCAATCTTTTAAAAATGAATTATAAAACAAGACTGATGAAGTTTGCTAAATTATTCTCGATTTCATCTTTGATCTGAACACACTGCAGGATTTGCTTGATATTTGTGGAAATGAGAAGTGAAAGTTTACTTCTTCAAATTCACTACTAAAAAAGACAATGTAGCTTTTGAGAGCCTCTCGGAGTTCAAGACTGAAAAGAAAAAAGAAAATGAAAAAAAAGACAAAAATAACAAAAAAGTTCTTAAACTTTGGGACTCTCTTGATGACTTTGTTTGAATTGCAAAATTTGGGAAAGACCCACCAGCCAGAAATGGTCTCAATGAACATTATTTGGGGATGACTTCAGAGGTTCCTGGAGAGACTAACAGAAAGGAGGCACTGACATTAAATACACATTTAGTGATTTTTTTTTTCTTGTATCTAATTGTTAAAAAGCTGTAAGTCTCTTAATGAGTATTTACATAAAGCAGTGCCTATGTTGTTTATGTGGTCAGGATCCAAAATACCCACTCATAAGACAATGAGAAAAAAGAATTGCTACACTGTTGTACAAATGGTTAGTTGTGTGTTAGAATGAAATTACAGATTCAATAATATAGCAAATTTGATGGTCTTGCATTATAGTTCATCATTAAAAGATTAACATTCTTTCTTTTAAAGATGTCTTTTTATTTATGTGTGTGTATGCCTGAGTGAGTTTATGTGCACCACATACGCATAGGAGCCCATGAGGCCACAAGAGAGCATTTGAACTAGAGTTACAGATGGTTGTTAGTTGCCATGTGAGTACTGGGAACAGAACCCAGGTCCTCTGCAAAGCAGCCAGTACTCTTTAACAGCTGAGCCACCTCTCCAGCCCCAAGATTAGCATTCTTATTGGAAACTTCTTTAGGTAAAAACTTTAAACCTTGCTCTTTAACACAATTGAGAAATTGAAGCACTTTGAATCAATTCAGATACAATCCAGGGCACTAAAGTTAGAAAAGTTTAAACAGATGATCTGGGATTTAAAACGTTCTGTATTTCTCATAAATGGGACAAAATAAAGATGGTATGTTCTGGAAAACTGTTTACTGAAAAGTGACTTAGTGATGCTATGCACTGATCTCAGAAGATTTGCATTTGAATAAAGTGATTTATGAAGCATGGGAAGAGATTTGCAAATGCATTATTTGTAAATGATTTTAAGTAGGTGTCTACATAAGTAGCTAAGTAAGTTAAGTAGACAATTCATTATTTCATCCATTTTCCTAAACTTTTTTTCTTTTTGTATGTATATGGCTGGTGGTGTATGTGTCCATGGGTTCACATGTGTTTAGGCACATGTGGGTAGGTGGGTGCATGTTTGTATGAGTGCGTGTGTGTGGAGGTCCAAAGTTGACATAAATTCCTTCCTCAATTATTCTCTACTTTATTTTTTTGTATTTTATTTATTATTTTTATTTTACATGTATGAGTGTTTTGCCTGCATGTGTAGGCCAGAAGAGGGTGTCGGATCTCCTGGAACTGGAGTAGTAAACAGCTGCTAGCCACCATGTGGGTGCTGGGAATCAAACTCAGATCCTCTGGAAGAACACTGAGTGTTCTTAACTGCTGAGCCATCTCTCCAGACCCCTCTACTTTATTTATTGAGGTAGGTCTCTTAATTGAACCCAGAACTCACCAACTTGCTAGACTAGCTAGCTAGCTTGCCTTGGGGCTGCTCTATCTTTGTTTCCTGAGTGCTGGGATTACAGGAGGCCTCCATGCCTGCCTGACTTTTATGTGGGTGCTGGGGATGTGAACTCAGGTCCTCAGCACAGCGAGAGCTTTACCCACTGAACCATCTCCCCAGACCAGTTTTTCCTAACATTTTAAACTGGAAACATTCCCTACAATGCACAGGTCTTGAGCCAGGCCATAGTGGCACATGCCTCTAATCTCAGCACTTGGGAAGTGGAGGGAGGAAGATCAGGAGTTCAAGGCCATTGTCAACTACACAGAGAGTTTGAGGTCAATCTAGGCTTCATGAAATTCTTTCTCAAAAATACAGAAAATTCAACCCTCCTGCCCCAAACCAAAACCAACATGTTGATGTTGAGGATGTTGAGAGTACAGTTTGATGTTTAGTCAACTCAAATCTCCCATAGCCATCACCCTAATGAAAGAACAGAGTATCAGCTCACCTCCATCCTTCCAGAAAGATCCTTAGCCCTGTCCTGGTTTCTTCCTACCAAAAGACAAACCACAGTTCTGATTCCCCTTAAGTTGGCACACACACAGAAAGGTCTTTTTCCTCATCAGGGAAATGGGTGGTGTGTTATTTGGGGGGTGCTGTGCATTTTGGTACACGTGGTGACTGGCAAACAGAAAGCATCTATTTGGTGGGCACTTCAGAGTTCAGAAGTGTGAGCTCATGTTTAGTTCCTGTCACCTTCCATTCTTAAGTGTCTGTGGTTCCCCTCCTTAGTTTGTTCTCTGAGTGGACAGTTGCTGATAGGCCCCTAAAAGATAGTCTTCTGTATAGAAATTCCTATGAAGACCCCTCAGCCTGAACACCCCACACATCAGGCCTGCATCTAGAAGGCTAGAACTTAAGATCCTTGTAGGATGCACCATCCCTCACTGAACTCAGACGTGGGCACAGGGGTCCTCCTTGCTCAGCAAACTTTGGCACTCCAGGAAGAAAAAGGAAGCTGATAGCTAACCCAACCCAGCCAGTTTCACTCCTGGGCTTCCAGTGTGAGAACTGCTGTGACATTCAGTCACAGATGCCAGCAGAGAAGGGCAGGGAGCCGGAGTGGCTGAAAAGGGTGTAAAAAACAGCCAGGTTCAGTGTAGTGGAGAGAGACAGAGTCCCAGCTCAGAACTTGGTTTCCATTTTCCAGGGAATCTCTGGGTGGCATGTGAAGAGGCAAGTGACAATGAGGCATCAGATGCCTTGTGATACTCAGTCTGCCCCCAGTGGAATCTGGAGACAGGAAGTGAAGCCTGAGTCTGTGGTGAATGGAAATCTTGGCCAGTTGTGCTCCTGTGGTTACGCTAGATTATTTTA